TGATGTGCTTGGAAAGTGGGGATCTTTGGCGGCAGTGGATAGGGAAACGGGTGTGAGCAAGGATGTGACTGATGAGGAGATCATTCGCTTTGCCAAGGAACCTGAGAACCTCAAACAGTATGATCCCAACGGGACTTACACCTTGAAGCGCTTCCGGACGAACCAGATGCTTTCTTTACTTACACGGGGAGCCAACATGATGGGAATTGGCAGGGACAACTTCAACCCTACTACTTACTTGAAGAGCGAAAGGGATGAAGATGTGAAGGCTATGCACTTTTGTTGCCTGAACGTCCTGTGCGAGGTGATTCCAATGGTGACGGGACACCAACAATTCTCAGTGCTACGACCAACGCCAACTGGACCAGTGGACTTCTTGTACATCGACCCCGTCGGTATTCTGCTGACTCATTCTGATCAGTCAGTCCAGACCATCGGCTTGCTGGTGGACCACAGTGTGCAAATGCCTGCGCATTTCATGGACAGATTGAACAGATCCAAGGCTGAGAGACAGCAAAACCCGACGACCAAGCGTACTGAAGCCCTACACCACATTTCGGCCGCTGACTATCTCCCTCCAGGTGGTACTTCCATCCTGGACACGCCTGTCACTACGGAGGAACGTGAAAGCGCTTCTTCGGCCAAGGGACCTTCAAAAGGGCGTGGGAGAACCGGAGGTGAGCAGCATGGAGGCTGGAACTCCAACTCCTACTACGACTACACCGCCGGCAAAGGCCGAAACAAAGGCAAGGACAAGGGAAAGCATCGGGAACAGTATCCAGAGGAAAACCTCCGGCCCTGGGACCGCGATCCTGCGACCACGCGAAGATGGAGATGAATCAACGCTTGGTCTTCCTCGCCTATCAGTTCGTGACCTCTGAGCTTCGCCCATGGAATGCCATCGCGAATGCTTCTTTCTTCGGTGACGCCTGATTCGTTTGCCATTTCAGGGGATCGTTACTGACGTAGATGAGTGTCACAACGTTTCTAATTGGGATGCAAAGCTCTGATTTTCAATGTCAACGTTGCGGCGGAACATTTTCTGTTGTCCTATCGTGCCATCTTCCGGGTGAGCAGCGTCGGAGACGCAACTCATGGGGGGTGCGAACGGACTGCGATGCCTTGTCAAGTTCTAAGGTGTCACTATAAGAGCTGTGAGCAAGACCGTGTAAAGTGCAAGAGAAGGGGGCACGCTACGCGTCCCTCGACTCTAGGGGGCATGCTACGCATCCCTCATCTTTACCTTTCTATGTGACCGCCAACGCAACGTTTGGCTCAAGTCAATGCCCATAGCTAAGTGCTATATGTGTCTTCTATCCTGAGCAATCAGAGCTATCCCGTTGCACAGACGAACCGCCGCCGGCAGTGAGTGCAAAAGGAACGGCCGCCGGTTCTGCCTGCATAGGATCGCACGTGTGGAAGTAAGAGGGAGAGACAGGGTCCAGTCTGTGGAGAGTGCTAGCCAGCCACACCTACATTCATTACAGCTCTGGTGGGGAGAGCAGCAACCAAGTCGAGATCAATCCCCCACGCATATATATATTATTATTTATACTATATTTATTATGTATACTATATATACTATATATACTGTATATAATATATATATATATATATATACTGTAATATATATATATATATACTATAATATATACTATAATATATATATATATATATATAGGCAAGGAAAATAGTTTTCCCTAGGAAAACCGAAAAAAGAGGGTTTTCCCAGGGTTTTCCCTAGAAGCCCAAGGAAAGCACCAACAAGAAAAAAAAAGGCCCAAAAGAAAAAAATAAAAGGGCCCAAAAAAAGTCTCCACCCCGTTGTCAAGCTATCCCGAAGAACTGACTGACTGTTCCGATGTCAGTAGACCCCAGCTAGCGAAGCTTCCAGCGAACTGGTCATGGAGTGCTGCTAAAGCTAACAGCTTGTTTCAAGGGCCCCGCCCCGTTTCTGGCATCGTAGGCTGGTGTGAATTCAGCGGTGCCGAGGGCATGCCCTGCCATAAGACATGCGTAGTGTCCGGGAGGCAGCTGGCAACGCGGACGTGTGGTCGGATGAGCAGGTGCTGGCTCGACTGTCTCAGAACATGTGGTTGCAACCTTCAAGAAACCCATGCTAGCCAGATGCAGAATCGTATGACCGGATGGTTCAGGCTTTCAGTTTCGGCATTGCCAACAGCGGCGGTCGCTATGAAATCTGCTATTGTGCAAGCTACGACACATCAGAAAGGACCCGGCCCAAAAGGTCTCCACCCTGCTTTCTGCTCAGCTGTTCAGCTGTGGCTGTCGCAGAGGTCGCAGATCTTGGAACTTCCAAGAGCTGTGAAGTTTGGTCAGAAGCTCCTCACAGGACGAACAGCTACGACGCAGCATCTGGCGCCTATACTGCCTGCGACAGCGACGCAGAATTCACGCACAGCGCGGGTGCACTAATTGCAACCTGGCATCGGGTTTTGGGCCTTCGAGTGTCCCGGCCCACTGGGGCCAATATCTGGAGCGTGATGTTGTGCACGTTTGCAGGTACATGGTGCTGCTGGGGGTGAGGCCTTCGAATGCGTGAAGAACACACTCTGCAGCTTCACGCTCTCTGGCTTTGGCTTACACGGGGACGACGAGGTGGCGACATGAAGGGGTGTCTGATGTCAAGGAATCTTCCGCACATGCCCAGTGCTTGAGATCCCCTTTGGCAGGTTTCGTTGATCAGCTATAGTGCCGACGGCAGCGCCTGTGCACTTGGCACTGCCTCATTCACAGGAGCAGCGGAGGCAGGTTTGAAGACGAAACCATCATCCTCCCGTTCCCCTGAGATAGGGCCCGAGATACTTACAATACCGAAGGAAGTTCGGCCACGGTCGTCGGCGGGCTTTGGCCTGTCGCGGTCATTCGAGCTGGGTCGTGTCTTGATTGAGGGGGTCTACACGCTGTGCTATTGCGCAAAGACTCCCGGTCGCACTTCTTGCGTGTTTGCCGCGAGGGTTTGGGCGGGTTTGGTCGCAGCTCAGGTTCGACCTGCAGCATGAGTGCACGGACCGGGACTTCTCACATGAAGCCGCAACTTTGACGGTACCGGGCGCCGCCGGTGGCGAAACGTACCGGTGCCACCGGGGCAGTCCATGCGAGGTCACAGTCGCTGGGACATTCCTCCGCCAAGCTGAAGCTCGGTGTGAGGGAGAGAGCTGTTTTGGAGCGAAGACCTGAGATCGGAGTCCAGTGCCTTTACCTGAGGATCGTGTGAGGGTCATCTCCTATGGGGCTGCCTGCGGATCTGCCGGTGCGGTGGCAGACTTTCCCTCAACGGCTGGCTCAGGGTCTGACGTCGCACGTGCATTTTCACTTGGCTTTGCTTTCACTACGCCAATGCTCTTCACCGTCTGCCGGCAGCTCAGGCTTTCCTGAGTGCAGCACAGGAGCTGCTTTGAAGCTGCGCTTTCCCGAGGTTATTGCGCATCGTATGATGGCCCCGATGAAGATCTCTTGAGTTGCTCATCGGACTCCGACTTTACACACGAGGCGGGTAAATTGGGCAGGTTGGCATCGTGCCACATCGACACATGGCCAGAGCCACTGCGGAGCTGTGCCAGGCTGGCTCCCTCGAAGTGCGTGGGGCTTTCGGCGCACAGAGCTATGCTTGCGTCAAGGACTGCAGAAGCCCTGGCACTTGGGGCACCGCTCCTTCGGATTGGTATTCTTCGTCAGCCATCTGTATAGATGGCAGGGATCACCATTCACCGGTATGAGGTGTCAGGGTGTGTGAGGCAGGTTCAAGTCACGGAATTTCGAGCAGAAGATGCCCTCCGTCAATTCACAAATGGATGGCTGCAGCAACCTCGCCACAGAGCCGCAGTTTGCAGGACGTGAATTGCTCCGTCGATGCGACCCTTGCCAAACAGTTAGCTTCATGCCACATCCCAGCTGACCTTTTGAGTGAGATGCAAAGCTTCCAAGGCTGGGCTTCTCACTGGACGGCCTGGGCCTAAGCCGCAGAGCCCAACGTTCGGCGGCCGACGAACTCGTTTGAAAGGCAATGCTTGCACTCCGGCTATAGTTGCACGAACGAGTGTGCGCGGTGTCTGCTTGCTGCAACTGGCTGCAACCAGGCCGCCACCAATCTCGGCACTGCACAGCACTTGCCCATGAGTGTCCTACGAGGTAGCTGCTGCCATTGCCAGCCAGGACAACTATCTGCTGCACGCAGCATGTGCACATTTACGCCTTCAGGCAAGTGTGTCCTGCATTGTCAATCCTTAAGCGCACAGCGTGTCCTGTTGAGCATCGGACGATCCAACACTGCGGACCACGGATCAGCAGCATTGGTATTGCCATACATGCAGGTTGCTGTGCCTTGTTTTGCTGCACAGGGACATCTTGCGAGCGACTGCATAAGCACACTTCTCGGGCGACTGCCCTGGCGACAGACGATCACAGCAACATCGCGGCTGCATGGAGGTAGGATTGACGCCGCACATCGGCCGCGGACTAGCAACAGTAGACAGCAGTGCAAGACCTTTCGAGTGAGAAAAACTGGCAGCAGCTTTTCGTTTTCACACGCTTTGCTTCACGTGGTCGCTCTCGTCACTCTGTTCTTGTTCCTTTCGATGTCTCCCACGGCTCGCATCCTTGAAGGTTCAGCGAGACATACCTTGCCCGCATGTGCTGGACACGCGCCCGCTACCGTGTTTTTTGCAAACACGGGCTGCGTTCGTTTCACGTACAGTGGCCAGATGGAGGATGGAGGTCATGCAATACCTTTCGAAGGAAGATTTGACACAAGGAGAAACCTCCAGCCTGCACAATGCTCAAAGCTTTCGGCTCTCGATGTTAGACAGCATGCACCCCTCCGCGAAGTTATTCTTGCTACTGGTACTGGTACCTAGTTACTACTGCTGTCCTGTCGTTTGTGTTCTCGAAACAGTTGGATGACGCGAGTTGCTGCTGTCAAGCACGGCTTCATAAGTTGCAGGGTGCTGTGAGATTGCCAAGGCGACAGCCGTGTGCAGATGGTGCGTTCATCTGGGCTTTGCGGCTTCAGTGTTGTTGCTACGGACTTTGGCGCGAGCCGTGCTGTGGCCGCCGGCGGAAACTCCAGCTATCGCACCTTCGATTTGGCGGAGGCCACTGAGGCGGACGATGAAAAGCCATGGCTCGCGAAGCAGGTTTGTCTGTTTGCGCGCTTGGGCCCCGAGTTTGCACACTGGGAGGCCGGCCGCTATGTGGTTTGCTATTGCGCTGACTACAGCGCTGCTGCCGGAGCGCACGCGGATGCGGCGACCTTCTGTACCCAGGATGCGGAGTTTTCCCATGCTGCCGGCACTGTGGCTGTGCGAGGCAGGCCTTGCACCGACGTTACGGGTAATACTACACCACACGGTCTGCAATTCGCGAGACATCAAGAACAGTTTTGTATGAGTGCTACATGTCGCCACACAGGTCCCATGGGTGGCGAGGACCAGGTCTGCACGGCGGGAGTTCCCTGTGTCCTCGGTACCTTCCATGGTCAGGCCGGGAGGTCGAAGTTCCGAAAGCATAGCACGCCCATGCAAGATTCAGATTAAACTTCGTGTGAAAAGGGCCTGGCCGTTGGCAACCGCATTGCTTTCGTCCTCCGGCAGCCGCTTGGGCAGCAATCTTGACAGGCCGGAGGCTTTGGGGTTTTAGTCATGTGGTTTTTCTGGTCGGATACTCCACGGCCTAGGATCTATGGTTCTGCTGGCCTCGTGGAGGTCGCCATGGACAGCCGGGGCAACTGCCAGACGCAGGGGAGGGATGATGCAGCTCGAATTTCGATTTGGGAGAGGGTTTCCAGGGCAACTGCAAGCATTATTCCCGGCTTCAGCTTCATAAGCCCAGGAACAAGGTAATGGGGCGAGTTACACGGGGGCGACGCTCGACAGCCGCAGCCTGGCGGCCTACACGGTGGCACAGGGGCAGCATCCTGGCTTCTCTCTGGGGTTGAGATGTGGTCGGGGTACTGGATGCACAGTGACATGCAAAGAACGAAAGGATGCTAGTTTGCGGCTTGCGCTGTGTTCATTGTCTTTGTTTCGGTTGGGGGTTAAGACTTGGTCCTGCTGTTTTGCGATGCCCTACCGCTGCCTGGCCAGACCGTTGCGAGCCGAAACCGAAATGCCTCGGATCAAGTCATGGCTTCGTCCCGTTCTTTGGTCGTCCTCTGAAAAAACAACGTGCTTGCACCAACGGCCGACTTTTTGCAACACGCTTTCTTGTTTTGTATTTGCTCCAGTGTTCTGCGAACCACACAAGACGGAGCAGCCTTTCATACTTTTAGCGACCTGCCAAGCTCTGAAATGCTGACAGTGACTTCATTCAAGCTTCTGCGCGTTTCAGCCCCGCCTCTGCAGGTATGTGAACGTGACAGCCGGCATGGTCGTCCTCTTGTCCAAGTCAGACCTCCCTCGGGGCGGCCAGTGGCATGCACTCATTGAGAAGCACCTGCGTTCTTGTGCCCTTGCGCTATTTTCCTAGCTAGTCCAAGTCATGTGAAACTCGATCCAGTAGTCGTTGGCAAAGTCCTTATAGGTGTATGGTGTGTGTGTATATATACTTATTGTGTACGTGTGCAAGTTCGCTCTCCGCGGTATAGCCGCTCTGGTATTGTAGCGGCAATCGTAAGTGCATTATATTAACTGATCAATGATATCAAGTGCTTCCAAACCTCAATTTGTAGGATGTCTTGCAGCATGTCGATTTTCGTCGGTTTTCAAACCGTATTGGGTGGCTCCTACTTCTTCATCTGTAGCTCCGGAAGGAAGGGAGCATAACCCCTTTTCGTGCCGCATATTTCCTTCAGGTTTCGTAGTAATCAAATGATCTTCATGTCCCTTGAAAGTTGACTTCACCCCCAATGGTTGGCGACTCTCCTCCCTTGTCCTGTGGTGGGATGCAGTTCGAGATTTAGGCCTGGGACCTGTAGTACGTGGCATCGAGGGAGGGGAGGGATGGGTGTATATATACATATATATATACATATGTAAGAAAGTAGGTAAGTATGTAAGTATGTAAGTGTGTATGTATGTCAGTAAGTAAATATGTATGTACGTATGTACGTAAGCCAAGACACAATCAACGAGATTTTAGCAGACTCGAGGCTGGATTCCATGCGTACATCCATCCGTAGATACATGCATACGTACACTCATATGTGGATGTGTTATTGTAACAAACATGAGTGGAATCTTGCAGACACAAGTGCAGCTTCAGCTGCCAAGATTCAGATGAAGATGCTCGGCCTGTGATTTGGTTACCCCGCTATGGAAGGAGGGCAAAGTTGAACGCTTTTTTGTGGACGCAAGGTGGAGCATGTGTTACTGTGCAGACTACGACTTGACGGCCGTTGCGACGAGGATGGGTGCCTGCTTCTTGTGCACAGGTCGCAGTCCGAGGTGAGCAGAAGCCACAGTTCGGCCAGGAGTTCTGCCGGTGCGTGCGACTCTGCTGCGGAGTTTCATAGCATTGCTGGCCGGCTGACTGTTCGAGGGCCCTCACCCAACGACCAGGCCCTTGTGCTTTCGTATGCTAGGCTCTGTGGGCTCTGCAACGCTTCTGCAAACACGATGTCTTGGCCAGGATGCGACATGCACAGCAGGCACCAGTTGCACCGTGACGAGTCTTGCCTGCTTAGGGACTCCACGGTGGATGCAGCTCGTCAGCTGACCAAGGATAACGGGCGAGTCCCTGTCTTCCCTGGACCGCGTGATTTTTGTTGAGCGCCTCTTCAGCAGAAGCGTCCAGCATCCACTGGTCAAGTGCACCAAGATGTGTTGGTGCCTCTTACTGCGAGGACTGATTCCTGTGACTCGAATGCTGGGACTGTTTAAGGAACGGCGTCTCGGCCGACTGTGGAGTGTCAGCAACCGACTATCGGATTGCGCGAGATGGTCCCAAGACGGTGACCCTTCTCTCAGGCTGGCGTCCTGTGTGGAATCTCAGGCCTTAGACTGGAAGTTCTTGGTTTAGCAAGTCAGAATTTCGGCCGGCAGCCGCTAAACTGTTCTTGCCACAGCAAGTCAAACGAATCTTAACCGTGTCCTTGTCAGCTCATCCTTAAGTTGGCAGATGGCCGCGGGCAGCTGCTTTTTGCTGGCGGCTCTCGAAGCGATCTTCCGGCAGGGCCTTTGATGTTGAAGCTGCATGTGGTGATGCGAGTCTAAACATTTCCGGAGTTTGACGAGCCCTTCATCATTCGCGAGAGCCGATGTGGCATCTTTAGACCCAGTTTCACTCCAAAAATGCACGCTTCTATTTTTGTGCAGGTGGGTGGTCAGTGGCTGATGTGCTACTGCGCCGGCTACGAAGGCGTCGGGACTGGCTCGGACGGTGCCACGGCGTCACAGGGCTACTGTACCGTGCCACCGTGACCTGAAAGGCTGCCTTTTGCCGCAACATTTCACATCGCTGGCCGGCATGCTGACGGTTGCTCAGCAGAACAGCCAGTTCAACGGACCTGCCATCCAGAGGCCTCGCAGAGGTGAGACGTGCGTGGATGCTCCAACGGTGTTTGTAGAGCCGATGCGCGAGCTCGATTTGCGGCTTTTCCGAGAGAGTGGCTTCAACTCATCTCAGGTTCTGGGTCCGACTCCCAGCACGCAGGACCGTCAAACATCAGTCAGCCAGCTGGTGTGCGACTGTGTACTTGGGAGTTTGGATGGAGGACCAGCTTTGCTACGCCGGCAGGGCCTGCAACGTCACCTTTCAGGGCCAAGGTCTCGGGTCGTCGGATCAGGCGCGGCAGATCGCAGCATCAAAGTGTGTCCGTTGTGCCGTGGAACGAGGAGAGAGGGAGTGAGGATTGAAAATAGAATAAAGCTGTCCCTTCTCTATGCCTCGAAGTAAAGCAAAGAGCGGGTCAGGGCTCCCGTTTGCACCGGGCGCCGCAGGTTGCGTTTATTCCGTCTGGCGGCGAGTGTGGTGTCACCGACAGGGAAGCTTGATGGCATGTTGGAGAAGACATAGACTGCCAGAATATGAATGAGAGTTCTTGATGAGCAACCGCATGCAACAGCCCCCTGAACAAGCAACAAGCCGCACGCTGTCTGCTTACAAGAGTAGGCGCGGCGAGACATTTCAAACGCTATGCGGCTGACTCTTTTGCATAGTTTCTTGTGGGATTCCCTGTGCCGTAAATTTATTTCCCTTCTGGAAGCTCTAGAAGCAGCGAAAGAGCGGCGTGTGAAGTCGGGCAGCCGACCACGCAGCCGAGGACACGCGCTTGACTGGGAATGAATACGCTGCCAACCAGCGCCCCATCATCTGCCGCTTGGGGAACTTTGAGGAACTGATAAGAGCAGCTCTTGAGCATCGTGGGCTCTTGCTCACAACTCACGACACCCTGGGCTTGAAGCCCGAAACTTTGCACCACATGAGGCAATGGGCAGTACCAGCCTGTGCAACTGAGCACGCAGCTTTTTGCGCAAGTCCAGGCTGGATGGTGTAAGCAGGCGTGAAGTCGTGTGGCCGAGGAGCACTTTCGGATGCCTTGCAGGTATCCTTGACTCCTGCGGACCTGCCCCAGGGAGGATCATGGCACATCTGCTACTGCACTGCCAACCATGGGAACTGCCCCTTGACCGCGGCACACTTGTACCACCTGCAACTAACACCATGACTCTGTTTGTCGAGGCGACGACCCAGCAGACTTCGCCGCCCGTGCTGGGACCTTGGCAGTGGCGGGGCTCTTCGCCCAGGAGCTGGAAAGTCACAACGTTCAAGGTTCAGCTATGTTACTGCTATGTTGGTCATCTCTGGTCATGGGCAAAGGCACAGTTGAAGTGCAGTCTGGCAACGACGCGAACCGGCAGTGGGGAGTTTCTGCAGATGGAAAATCTTCGATCACTTATGGCCAGGGCTGTTACCGGTATGGTTAAGCAAATGTATGCCCAGTGCTGCCTAGCGAACCAGCTCGCCGCAGGATTTCGCGTGTGTGGCTGGTGCCCCCTGCTCGTGCCTCGGATGCCCTTGGGCCCCTGATGTTCAGACAGTAGCCGCACATCTTAAGACTTAGAATTCGGGAGCATGAACTCAGGGCAGCGGAGCAGGCTTGAGTGCCCATGTTCTGCCGCCACAGCCATTCTTCCTTCTTTGCTTGTTGATGCGGCGGCCTTCGAGATGTTTCCATCTACCGAGGAATCTGCTTGTAGCTGGATGCTGCCTGAACCTCGAGAGCGCGACAGAGAGAGAGAGAGAGAGAGAGAGAGAGAGAGAGAGAGAGAGAGACTCCGTAGCCATTTTGGCTCAAGCCGCGAGTGCTCAAAGGTGCCGCCCCGTGACCAGGCACCTCAACCACAGAAGTAGGGGGGCTCTCAGTAGGTGTGAAATCCCGGCCACAGGTTGCTAAGGTCGGACGGCGCTGCCATTCGAGCACACCTACCAGTGTGCAGAACTACGCGTCTCCCAGCTCATCGCTCCACCGCGCGACCTCGTGGGGATCGGTGCACGAGGGGACCGGCGCTGAGGCGAGCGGGGGAGAGTGACATCAGCAACCGGTACGGCCTCGGCGAGCCTACTCAAGACCACCTTCCACAAGCCGATTCACCGGGGGGGGTACCTCAAACGCCGCCTACGTGAACCCAGAGTCCGTGACTTTGGTCCCGATCAAGAATAATATCCATGACTACGCCAATGGATGCGGAGAGTTCAGGGGGAACCAAAAAGCGAGGTGCGCCGGAAGGAGGAGAAGGCCTCAGCCTCGATGCGATTCGTGAGGTCATCAAGGGGGAACTTTCCCTAAACACCCTCAACCTCAAGCAGGAGATCTCCCAGTCCGTCAACAGGCGAATGGACACAGTGGAAGAAAAAGTGGGGAAGCAACTGGAACGTACTCTGGAGAAGCTGGCAGCCATGACCGACACGCAAGCAGAACAAGGCCGGGCCATCGCCGCAGTCCAGGCGGAGCAGAAGGACACAGGGGGAAGGCTGGCACAGCTCGAGCAAAAGGTTCACCAGCTACAGCTCCATGGAGGCAGTTCCACAGCGGACACCGAAGGGGGAATGAAGCAACCCGCCCTCATACTGGGGGGATGGCCGGATGATTCTCCGGCCTCAGAAACATTGGAGAAGGCCAAAGATATGATGAAGCAGCTGCGGGTAGATCTTGACATGGAGGCAGCCTTCTGCCCTGGCATCCGCAGGGGATACGTCATCATCCCGTACAAGGCCAGACCCAATGAAACGGGGGGGGAGCTACGCGACAGACTGCAGCAAGCCCTGCGCCGCGTCAGAACGGCCAACATTGCCATGGCCCGCAAAGACGACGGGAGCAACAAGTACCTTTGGATGCAGATGTCCCAGTCTCCAGAGCGTCGCCGCCGAGCACACCTAGCAGGCAAGGTGAAACGCCTCATCCTCTCAGCTGCAGGGGGACCAGTCCATGGCCTTGAAGTCGAGTGGCCTACGGGCACCGTTTGGTGGAACGCAACGAGGGTGTGCACGGCCACCACAACACTGGGACCTCATGCCGAGCAAGCGGGGGCTGGATGGGTCGACCTTCACGCCATTGCCGCCGGCCTGGGACAGTCACTGGCCTCGGTGCAAGACGCATGGGGGGAGCTGAAACAAGCTCTTCGCTGAGGAGAAGAACCCACGGGGAGCACAGAAGGCAGCGACCGGGAAGATCCGTCGCCAGAGCCACAGAGCACTTTCGTACCCCTCAAGGGGGTGGACTGTTTTCACCTGGCAACCTGGAACGTGGGCGGCCTTACTGCCGATGGCACGCTTGACCTGCTGCGCACGTTCGGGGGAGCGAAACACCTTTGCATGTTGCACGTGATCATGTTGCAGGAGATCATCACCAATGCTGGTAAGTGTTTTAAAGAGAAGTGGGGATGGAAGATGGTTTATGGGAAGCAAGAAGGAGAGTTCAGAGGAGAGGCCATCGCGTTCAGAACAGACGTGGCGTCGCACACTCAGTCGACAGTCACCTCAGGAGCAGTGAGTACAGTCTTGCGTCTGCACACAAGTGAGAAGTGGGGACTGTTGAGTGGACATATCCCACACCACGCCACCATCCCGGAAGTGGACACCATGCTACATCACTGGGGAGACCAGCCCGCCCTAAGAACCCCCAAAGCAGCAATCGGGACGGACGCCAACGAGCAGTTTGCAGAAAGCCGAATCACGCCGACCACCACACAAGCACACACAGGCAGAGGGGAGACCGTGCTCAACTGGAGCACACACCATGGTTTCCGACTACCGCCACAAGCTATGAACCAGCCCAGCTATTACCCCTACAACACACGCCACGACCCCAGCCGACTGGACTACATCATGATACGAAAAGGCTACTGCTTACAAGCAGGGCCCATCCCAGCCAGAGACATGGCCAGCTCGGACCACGAGCCAATCCTAGCCCAACTCCGTGCCAAAGTGAAGAAACTAGCCAAGACTGTCCGCCAAGGGGGAGTGCGCCACCTACACCCGCCACCGGGGACCAGCATCCCAGACTACCTGGACGAGCAAGCGGCCACAGCACCGGCAGACCGCCACCACCAGATTGCCACGGTGTGCCAAGCGATCACCAAGCCCGGAAGGGGGGACACCCGACCCTTCTGCGAAAGCAGCACGCTGCGCACACTCAGGCGCCAGGCACAACAAACACCACCGGGGGCGGAACGCAGAGCAGCATGGAAGGCAGTACAGCAACAACTCAAAGGGGAGAGAAAGCTGTACCTCCAACAGCTAGTGAAACTCGCTAGCACCAAAGACTGGCCGGCATACCGAGCGCAACAACGACACACCAGCAAAGGGGACTGGATAGCCCTGTTGCTAGATGCGCATGACTGGCAATCTGCGCTCCTGGACCATTTCTCCGCCATCTTTGCCAAAGCCGACGGGGACGCGAAAGCAACAGCATTCAAGCGAATGCACCACCAACTCACCACAGCCTGCAAGCACACAGCCTGGCGACCCTTCACCCGACAAGAGCTCCTTATCGTGAGCAGCAGATGGGGGAAACACAAAAGCACAGGGGTTGACAACATAGCCCACGAAGCCTTGCAACTGCTCATTTTGCACCCCATTTGGGGGGAAAGAGTCCTGGCAATGCTCAATGAGGCGCTCTACGTTGGCAAACTACCTGCCCTAGTCGAACGCGGGCTCACCATTCTCCTTCCCAAAGGGGGGTGCCCAACGGGGTGGAGCGACACCAGACCGATCACGCTCAGCAGTGCTGTACTTAAAACCATCGCCCAGCTACTCCTCCTCAGGGGGACGCCGTGCCTGCAGCACCTCAACACCTACCAATGGGCGGCACCACGCAGACAAGGAGTCGAACTGATCCTCGTGCTCAGGAAAATCGCCAGGATGGGGGCGGACTGGGGCGGCGATTTTTGGATCATCAAACTGGACCTACAAAAGGCGTTCGACTCTGTAGCCCAGGACAGTCTAGCCGAACTTGTGGCTACCGAAGTGGGGGGAACCATGCCATGGGAGGCGCGGTTGTGGCTTTCACTCCTTGACGCCCGCCGCATCCATGTCGCGATAGGGGGGAGAGAAGTGGAGGTGGACCAAACCAACGGCGTTCGCCAAGGAAGCCCGGACTCCCCGGTGTTGTTCTCGGCCCGAGTGGGGGAACTGTTGGAGCGCACGCTATCCACCACCCAGACCGAACCCAGGGGGGGAACCTTGCCTTTCCTTCCCCCCCCTCCCCACCATGGCGGCTCCTTCATGGACGACACATACCTATGGGGGGAAAATCCAGCCCACTTGCAACTTACCCTCAACCACCTCGAGCGTCTCTTGCTACAGCATGGACTGAGGATCAACCCCAAGAAGACACACATCATCAGCAACAACCCCAAAAGCACAATCACATTCACCGTGGGGGGAGAAACAGTCACACCGGATTCAGGGGACACCCCACTCAGAGTGCTGGGCTCACCGGTCAGCTTCAGAGGCAGCACACCGCAACTGGCAGCGGAAATGGGCAGCCGAGCAAGAGCAGCTTTCGCCCAGAACCGGAAAGTCCTAACGGCGCCCACGCCACCCACACCAAGGCTGCAGCTACACGAGACCTTGGTCAGACAAACAGCACTCTACGGCTGTGAAACGTGGCAGCCACACGACACCCTACTCCGAGCAGCCAACACCCAACAACTCAGCCAGCTCCGCAACATGACAGGTGGGGGACGGCGTCCAGGCGAACAGTGGCACGAATGGAACACAAGAACCCTCAGACAGACCAGGGGGCTGCTCCACCGAACCAAGGGGGAAAGGTGGTCCACATACATTTTGCGCATGATCTGGCGCCTGTGGGGACATGCAGTCAGAGGCGGGGGAGTGACACGAGACATGCTTCTGTGGCGGGGGCTGGCCTTTTGGAGGACCGAGCAACGCAAACACCCCACACAGGGAGCAAGACACGCAGCAAGGTTCTGCAGCCAGATGGACACAGAGAGGCAGATCGCAGCAATCGCAGGGGAACAATGGCCGCAAGTAGCGCTAGACAGACAGCGGTGGCACCAACTCGAGCAAGCCTTCGTCGAACGCTACGACCCCCCCTGGGCCAGCGGCAAGCAACCACAGCTCACCAACCTGGCACCGGGGAGAACCGCACGCAACAACACACGTCACAGAGCACTGCCAGCAACACGCCGACACCACAATACAGCCATCCAAGTTGACACGCAGCGACCGCGAATGACCCTACCACAACCGTGAGGGGGGAGAGCAGAAGCTGAGTGAGGGAACAGAAGAGAGACACAGTCGTACACATCAGTTTTTCAGTGCAGTGCTTTCTTGCCAGCAACATGACAGTCACGTGAGCTTGTGTTGAGAATTCACTACATGTCGGGGGAACGGCTGCCGTTTGCAGCACTCTTGCCCGAGCACACCAAGCCAGTACCGCACCACGCTAGCCATCATGGCGAGTCTGGTGCTCAAGATCCTAACAGCCATGTGCTGGGGGATCCCGGTGGCCTTATGGGCAACCACGAGAGGCGGCCAAGGACCGCCACCCGCGTCGATGCAAGGCACAGGACGGGGGACGAGGCTGAGCAACAGCCACTCTGTCGCCAGCGAAGACACAAATTCGATGAGCGGAGCAGGCCCGTTGCCGCCCCGCCGAGCAGAACAAGACGAAGAGGGAGCAGGCAGAACGCCAAGGCAGGAAGACACCGAAGCTCACCAACGCAGACCCCAAGGGGGGAGAGGCAACATTGCAGCCGAACACGGCCAACAACCAGCAGCCACAGCCACCAGCTCAGTGGAGCAGGCAACACACCACAACCCACAGCTGCCAACGACACCGACAGCCACAGCCCAACACCAATCAACACAAGGCCAAGAGCCACCGCCGCACACAACACCACAGTGGGCCTCTGGCTCCAACCAACCAGGGGGACACCCCACACCACACCAAGCAAGCTCCCACACGGGGGGACAACAACCGCAACAGCCACAGCAACAGAGGAGACCACTCACCACGCCCCACGATCCATGGGAGACCGACGAGAGCAGCCCAGCAGACATTCGACCACCACCACAACCACAAACAACGGCAGGGGCAGCGGCAAGCAGAGGGGGAAGCAGCCACGGATTCCAAAAAGGGTATGCCCCACCCTGGAATGAGGAAACTGACCCGTGGCATGAAAGAGGGGAGCTCGCTCCAGAAGAAACGGAGCCGAGGTATCCCGGCAAACCCGTTCCCCGACTCAACCTGCCGCCTCAGCAAACACACCCGGCAGCCCACCACACGTCAACCCACAACCACATGCAGGAAGACCGCGCTCAATCACAACAAGCACAGCCACACGCCGGTCACACGACCGCGCAAGGCAGCCACCCAGCCAGGGGGCAACAACACCCACGCCAACAACCACCACACCACGACGACCCACCAAAGCAGACGCAACAGCAAGCGGCAAGCCACTTACCGTCAAGACCCAACAGATGGGAGGAAGAGCAGAGGGCCAAACGCCAAAAAGCCCGACAGGAGGCAACAGCAGCAGCGGCCACACCACACCACCAGGCCCCGCAAGGGGGAGACCGACCCACAATACCGACGCAACCGGCAGCGGGCGAAAGCAGCACAGCGCCCAGAGGCCAAGCAACAGCAGAAGTGAGGAGAGACGCCCAAGCCAGCAGCCACTCGCACCACCAAACACCAAGCAACCTGCACCAAGAGCAACAACAAGCACAAGCAGCAGCGGGGGAAAGAAGCCAAGAACCCAGAGGAGCCGCCACAGCAGCAGCAGACCAGAGAGCCACCCCACCCAACCACGACGCACCACAAAGGGGAAACACAAACCCCACCACCCCCACTGTGCCGCAGACAAACACACCGAAGCCGAAAGCCAAACCACCACCAGTACCACAAGAAAACACCACATCGAACAGCTCCATCACACCGCCACCTTGGGACGACGTGCCAGCAGACACCACGGATGCCCGAGGAAGAGGCATCTCCCCACCGCCTGGACTCACCGTCCGGGAAGCCTACACCTTCGCAACCACGGGACAGCTCCCAGACGACATACATACCAGGACCCAAGAGGAAAGCAGCAGCAGTGAAGAAGAGGCCACAGCAGGAGAAGGGGGGCACCAGCAGCGGCGACGCACCCCACCAACCGCGTCACAAAACAAGCATGAAGGTGGGGGAGAACAAAGAACGCGTAACAAACGCGAAAAAGCACAACTCAAGGCCTGGCTCCGCAGGAACCACTACACGTGGGGATGGAGCAACAACCACACTGGCCGACGAGGCACACGACCCACCCGACAACCACAACGGCAACACACTAGCAATACACCACAGCGAACAGCACAACGACCCACAGCACCAACCACCAACACTACCGATTGGGCGGATCTGCTCAACCGTCACCTCCGCCCATGGCCCGCACCAGCCACACCACATACGGCAACCACACCACAACAAGCACAAAGCAGCAGCGGGGGAGACCCCCAGACAAGGCCAACCGACACCACCGACCAACCAACAGTCGACCCAGCGCAACCACAGCCACAACCTCCCACCCAAGCCCACAGCTACTACGAGAGCTGGACCACAAGCAAGCAAGCCACAGCCGCGAGAGAAGCACACGACAAAAGGAGCACAGCCGACAACCAGTGGCAACCAACATCGCAGACAGGGGGGGCGCAGCAAGCACCACGTGCCAATACAGACAAGGCCAGCACGCAAGCCGCGGCCGATCACAAAGCAAGACGACAACAAAACCCGTACTTACAGCACAGAGAAGGCACAGAAGCAGCAGACCGCGGCGAACCGCCGACAAGACCAGCCGCAACCCACGGACACCCAGAACAGGAATGGGGGGAGCAGCGCAACGCCACTCCTATGGGGGAGCCGGAGGCCTACTTCCAGGACCGAGATGCGCAGGCAAACAAGGAGAACCACATCAAGAGGAGAGGACCCCCACAGCTCCCACATACCAGCAGGACGCAAATCCTCTACGTGTCGGTCGGGAAAGGCAAATGGGTTGCCCGAGTGGAAGCTCCGCCAGGAGCCCCCTCCGCACCAAGCAATAGGGGGGAGAAGGGGGTGCCACAACGCAGCCTGCTGGAAACAGGGCAGGAAATGTGGACCGCGCCTGGATTCCCGGAGGGGAGCATCATAGAAATCGAGACGACTGTCGGACTGGTGTACATGCTCACGGTCATAGCACTTCCGGCAGAACACCGCCAGGAGGGGGGCACACTTGCAACAGAGGTGGGGAAGGCGTATTTTGCCGAAGAGATACACGGCACCTGGATGCTCAGACCCGCAGGGGGGCCACGCCATGGACCACCCAGGAAAAAGTACCAGCCTCCACCAAGAGGCCAAGGACGCGCGGTGGGGGACTCCACCAACCCTGGCGAGGCATACCGCCACACTGCCACCACCGAACCGGCGGGGGAACCACGGGAGCAGCAAGCAGCAGCGGCGCGGCCACCGTGCCGACGCAGCCAAGGCCAGTGCAGGAGGACCACGCAGAAGAACAACCACAACAACAACACCCACGCCAGCAGCAGCCGCAGCCACGCGCACCCGACTTCAGAGACGCCCGACCCTTGAGAGGACAGCAACAGCCGCCCCGAAACCCAAGAGAACAAGCAGGGGGCAACCCACAGCCGCAAGCACCACCACAACCACAACAACCACCACAACAACAGCAACCCCACTTCTTCACCGTCATCCGCGACAGCAGGCAGATCGGCAGAGGAGACCCACAGCAGCCAAGAAGCGGCCACAGACCAGCGCAAGACCCACGGGACCACGATCACACGGAGCTCTGGCAACTACCACAGGGGACTGCAACAACCACAAGCACTACAAGCACTACTACCACAACACCACAAGAATGCAACTACCCAGGGGAGGACGAAGACTACCTCAACGGAACGGCAACAGATGAGGAAAACTTCGGCTTGATCCGGAGGCGCAGAAGGACCCCAGTAGGAGGGGGAAGAAGGAGGGGAGGAACAAACAAGCCCAGACACACAGATGCAGCCAGCAGCTCCAACGCACCACCACCAGCTGCCACCAGCACGATTGCAAGCTTGAGAGGGGCACTAGCAGCAGCAACAGCACAACTCCAACTGATACAAGAAATCACAGAGACGATGAGAGAACCTGAAGGGCAGATAGTTGCCAATATATGTTCCATTGCCTTGGCTATGCTGGCTCAACCAAGTGCAGCAATGGGGGGAATGCCCCAACGAGGAGAACTACCTCATGAAGCAGACTGTGGGGCACTACGCGAAGCCTTCAACCAGATCACGAGCATGCGAGTGAGAAGGGGGGAAGGCCTCACCAACGAGGAGTTCGCGACCGACCTCAGCTCCGTCCGCAACCTGTGTGGAATGGGAGCAGAGGAGCTTCGTGAGGCCACACCTGAGGCAGTACCGGGGGAAGGCCGACAACAAGCCATAGAGGGGGCCAAAGCCGCGTATGCCATGCTGGACAAGGCCATACTACCAGCACTGGGGGGAGACCGCTCTTGGAACACGCTCCAATGGTGGACCCAGCTACAGGAGACAGTGCTACCAGCGACAGCCATGGGGGAGAGGAACCAGCGCTGCAGAGACCGCACACCAAATGCGGGGGAACACGCAGCTCATCCGGCCGATGTAGTGGCGCTGGAAGAACCTGGCACAAAAGAATGGACAGCGAGAACTAGCCAGATACATGGGGCAGCCGCACGGCTTATGACGGCAGCGAGCCGTTTGAGAGATGTGGTCCCACTGCTGGGGGCGGACACCATCGGAGCGGCGATTCATGCACTCACGGCCCTCGATGCGTGGCAGCAAGCCTACTTTGGGGGAACGCACGCAGTGCACGACGAGACCCAGACCGACGAGAAGGGGGAAAAGAACGAAAAGGCCCACGTGGACGCCGACATGGACGTCGACATGGGGGAACCACCCAAGACAACGGGAACCAAGCGTAAATGGCTTGGACTCCACGGAGTCACAGAAGAGGAAGTGGCAGCCCTAGAGACAGATAGCTTCCTGGCGGACCTGGGGGAAATCGAAGCAATGCCGACGCTTCCGCTACCAACGGCCCCAGACGTGGACTCTGCAGATGCCGAAACAGTGCCATGGGGAGACGGGGGGGAAGCAACGAGACCTCCAGCTACACGATCCAGCTATGAGGAAGACGGGGACTCCCCTGATTCCAGCCCCGCCTCACACCGTAGACGCCGCATGCACGCGGCCTT